TCTGTTTTTTATGACCTTTATGGAAAAGCAACTTTTTATTAGATTTTTCGATTTTATATTGGTGAAATTATATGTTCAAATTCTTACCATGATGGGTGGGTAAATGATTCATCTATAGCCACGCTCACACCCACCCCGAAAAAACAGATGTTAGATCCTGCAAGATCCAATGAGGTCTTACTCCTATAAGGTTTTTTCTATGATTTTGTTACAATATCGAACAATATCTTATATGTTGATTTTTTTAAAGATGTTCTCAGATTTTGATTGTGCGGTGTCAGCAAATAATCTTACAAGACTCAATGATTAAGACACTGATTTGGACGGACTAGATCCTTCTTGTCAGATCTTAACAGATCATATAAGATCCAAAAAAAGAAACATACACAGTACATAATGTAGATCTTGCCTGTTAGCATCTGATCATGTATGATCTGTCCTGGTTCTTTCCCTTATTCGAGAATAGTTGATTCCATCAGCTTTCCGATGAAGAACAGTACCTGGGGAAAAGACTCGAATAGTTTACGTCAGTTTTTTTCTTCTTTTTCTGTACTAATAGTGTAGAAACGGTTATTTTTATTTTTCACCTTTCTATATTAATAGAGTACAAAAGGGTTACTTGTATTCCTCATTTTTCTGTAGTGATAAAATAGTAAATTCTATTTATTTTTTATTTTCTATATTGATAACATAGAAAATCTTACTTTTTTTTTTATTTTTCCATATTGATGATATAGAAACAGCTAGTTTTATGTCCTATTTGTCTATAGTAATAATAATTTAGAAAATGCTGATTTTAATTTCTTATTTTTTGCATTGGTCATATGGAGAATGTTATTTTTTATTTTTCTACATTGGTAACAAAGATAACAATTTGTTTTATTCTCTATTTTTTGTATATTGTTGACATAGAAAATCTTAGTTTTTATTTTGTATTTTTCTATATCGATAATATAGAAAAATAAGAATTAAAACTAACTGATATTTATATTATCAATTAAAATCAATAAGAATTCAAAAATAAGATTTTCTATATTATCGTTATAGAGATATCAAAAATTAAAATTGAGATTTTCTATATTATCAATATAAAAAATCAAAAATAATAAATAAAATTTTCTAAACTGCCAATTGAGAAAAACAAGAAATGAGAATTAAGATTCATGTATTATTGATATAGAAAATGAAAGCAATAAAACTAACTGTTATGTATATTACCAACATAGAAAAATTAAAATTAAAACTAATTATTATTTATATTATTAATATAGAAAAATGAAAAATAATGAATAGGATTTTATATAATATCAAATATAGAGCAAATGTTGACTGTACTTGTTCTAAAATAAGATTGAAGTTTATGTGCAAAAACACGAAGCAAGGTAGCCGGTCATACTGATTATTTCCATGTGTATAAGAGATATTTGAGAAGTTTGATTTAATTGAAATAAATCTATAGTATTAATAAGCATTTCATATAGCTCTATGCCATCATCTATAAGTAGAAAATAAAATTATCTACTCGAATTTTATGTCTCACAATCTCTTTGATTTAAAAAGCAGAAAGTATTGTTTTGTTTTTGACTCTCATCTTCGAGTTGTTTGACACATCATTAAAGGTCTCATACCGTTTTACATGTATTTGTTTTTTGTCGATGGAAGAAAAGAAATAATACTAAAAAGTACTTTCTTCCAATTGAACTGAGACATTAAACATATTAAAAATACATGACATTACATGTAATAAAAATGACAATTGATTCAATAGTATTAAATTTAATCAAGATCTCGATTATAGCTAGATTCTTCATAGATAAATTAAGAAGGATGAAATTATTTCAATTATTTTTAGGAAGTTTATAAAACTGCATGACATTTTTTATTAACTTCATCATTTCTGTAACTGTCCACTCAAGATATAATCATAGAAGTATTGTTTCTAGTTTAAAGCGCAAATCAATATCAATATCAACCTTTAGAAAATTCTAGACAAACAAAAAAAAAAACTTTCTTCTAGGATTTAACCAGTGCAGAATGCGATACAATAAAAATTTGAAGAAGAAATCTTCACACTTATTGCTATTGAGAATAGCTAAAATTATGATGAAATCTTTACGATCGTTGCTTTTTTGTGAGAATCCCCAAAAATTTACACCTATTGAATAACCTACAAAGCACAAACTTGCAAAGATTTTAGATCAAGGCTTCGATAGGAGATTCGTATTGTCTTGTAAAGAAGTGAAAATACTTAATTGTAGAAAGATCGAAATCGATCCGTGATCGAAATCGATCCGTGATCGAAATCGATCCGTGATCGAAATCGATCCGTGATCGAAATTGCTATTGTTTAAAAAACCGTGTCCCATACCCTATTAAGTTGAAAATTTGTAATACATTAGAAATGAATTCAAAATAAAAGATTTGATTGATTTGTATATAGATCATTGTTTGTGCTACAATGCAGAATAATGAACATGACAGATTCTTGAAATATTCTTGAACTTGGGAGAGACTTGTTTTTGAGTTCTTTTCATGTACTAAACGTCGAACTTACGTATTTTTTTATCTAAACTTATCTTATTTAGTACTTCGATTAGCCTTTCTACAAACTACTTGTTTGTTTGAGATTCAGGAATAAATTACTCAATAATAAGTATGATGCAAAATTAATGGCATAAAATACCTCCGAATGATGTATGATTTATATTTGTCACACATTCGTAAATGGAATAAGAAAGAAAAATACTTACACAAAAAATTTGTAATTTTTTTATATGAATCAGTCAAAAACGTCTTATGCATGGTAGTTAAGTATAATTAACTATCGTTATTATCTAGCAAGATGTTTTTAACGAATTCATATAAAAGTGGCAAATTTATTTTGTCTCATTTCACTCAGAAATGTGTGACGAACATAAATCATACATCGTTTCCTATCAACTGATAACAAAATTGTTTTTCCTTACGTTCAAATTCTATTATAACTCATTTTATTGTAAAAT